AGGACAAAACGATGGTATGTTCTAACTGCGGTCGCACAGGACATTCGGCGGAGTCGTGTTTGAATTTTGCAGGGAAGAGTACATTGTTGAATCATTTGTTTGGAACAAACTTTCGGGAAATGGATGCATTTAGAGGAAGGCATGCTTTATTCTTCACATACTAGTTCAGAGGATACTTAACTTCTGATTTAAGGTTCTTTAATGGCATTCTACCAAATGCCGGATTCCGGAGAGACATATTCTGAAATTCTTCATAATACAGAGAAACAAAAGGTTATATTCGTAATTTTATTTTAATTTTTTAATACGATTGATGTATTATTTTAGTAATATAATTTATGTATTAGTTAGACCTACAATACCTTTTATTTAAGGAGGTTTTTAATATTTACAAGTCGATAAGCAAGGGGGAAAACGGGAAAAAGCCCTGGGCCGAAGCCCGTTTTTGGAAATAGAATCTCCCGGCCCTACCTGATCAGATTCCACTTAATCCTAGCCGTTCATCTGTTTAAGGTTATGCTCTGTGCCGCACCTGATTAAATCCCGCACTCTCTTACCAGCTCTACAAAATGATGTCTTTTGGGAAAAATGAAAGCATCGGAACACAACGGAATAATACAAAAGAATTTTCAAAAGTCAAATTCAGAGATCTCTTAATTTTCCTGGAAAGGGGATAAAAACCCTAACGATTACCTCACCAATTTTCCTTCCAGCCAAACACCTCCCGCAGCGAAATCGGATCGGCTGCTGCAGTTCCGATAACACGCCATGGCTTATGCTTCCCGTATCATCAATCATTCCAAGAAGGTACTTTCTCTCGATTTCTCCTATCATTTGGGTTTTTCCTGTCTTTGGGTTCTTCAGTGATTGTGATCGTGATCTTGTTGGGTTTCGTTTGTGCTTTCGTTTTCGGTTCGGTCTGCTTGGCTATTATCGCGCTTTCCTCTCCATCAGCTCAGCTCCAGGTTCATATTTTTTCCCGTGTTTTTTTTGGCGTGAAAAATCGATCTATTTTTTTTTTCACGTGATTTGATTGCGCTGTTCCTCGATGGTTGATTGGATCTTGGGTTTTCATGGGTTGATTTGATCTCTTCCTATTGATTTGGTTTCGATTTATCCTGGGTCGGTTCGAAATTTGTGAAATTTGAGTCGCTTAGTTGTCTGATTTTCTTCTGTTGATGTATAGAGATGTGTTGCATATCCTGCTTGCTAGGGCTGGGCATTTTTACCCGACACCCGCAGGTTTTCGGATATCCTGTCTCACGGGTACCCGGGATTCAGTACTCGTGAGACAATAAGACTGAGTTCGGGTTTGGTGAGATGAAAAACCCGAGTAAAAAAAAAATAGATCGATTTTTCACGCCAAAAAAAACACGGGAAAAAATATGAACCTGGAGCTGAGCTGATGGAGAGGAAAGCTAGAGCGACAGAAAGTTTGGGTTTTGATGAGAACTTGAATCTCCCCAAACTCGGATCTGAGCGGCGAAGGGGGATAAAAAATAAAGAGGCCGATACAAGGAAAGCGTTCGCGAGTTTTTATATTCCCTTCCTCCGGCTGTGGCGTTAGGGTTTTCCTCTTTGCAACTCATCCTCCTCTTTTTTCGAAATTCCTATTTTACCCTTGTCCCTGCTTAATTATTACCCTTTTGGGTTTGACATCATGACATATGACGATGCCTATAGCCCAAACACCGTGTATTTTTCTGCCTTTTTACTCTATTAAAGACTTGGTATTATTATTTTTCATTTAACAAAGAAGGTACCTTTGGCTGTTTGGTTCAATTTGAGGTACACGTTTCCGGATTTCATACATGGCTTCATCGATATGTTGTGAAAACAAACAGTTAAATGGGTCAAACAGTCGTCAAACTCGTCAAACTGATCAAACTATATGTGAAAACACTTACACTTACTTGATCATTGAGCCATACACCTTCTTGTAGAAGGTCTTCCCAAAACTGTGGGGTTCGTAGATATTCCAGCCCCGACATCCATAACCTCTCTTCTCTCGGTTTTTGCATAAACTTGAAGAGAGCAGTCGCTTTTCTTGTGTTTGTCTCAATAAAACTTTCAACTCGCACAACATTGTCATAGACCATAGGCTGTCGAGGGATCCACACATAACCTGGAGGAGCTACAGATATCGGCACCAATGCGGATTCTATCGGCACCAGGTACCTTCTTTGTGATGTGCAGTGTTGTGAATGCTTCAAATGGTGGAAATTGGGACAGAAAGATCTCGGCCTTCTTGGACAATACATGAGTGGGGAATTACCAATTGGCGGTGGTAACAAAAAATTAGACCAATACAAAAGGTTTTATCAGTGTGTTGAACATTCCGTCATAGGTAGATCCTAATGTAAGCGTCCATTGGGTCACTATTAGAGTGGACTACAGG